ACAGTGGCCACCACCCCTTGTCACCTACTCACAGTCGCCACCCCCCCCCCTCTGACACCTACTCATAGTCGCCACCACCACCTGTCACCTACTCACAGTCGACACCACCACCTGTCACCTACTCACAGTGGCCACCACCCCTTGTCACCTACTCACAGTCGCCACCCCCCACCACCTACTCACTCCCCATCCCACATCTTGAGGGGTCTCGAGTTTAGAATATTATGGCTATCACACACAAACAGGTGTATATTTTTCACAAATACTGATGTGCATGTATGCTCACAAGCCCAAGGCCCGCGGGACCACAGAGCAGAGTGGCAGGACCATGGAACTGCAAGACTGTAGGACCACGGGGCCTGCAACACGTGTTCTGTGCAAGAAACTACATGTTCCCCCTGAATGAAAAAAAACACCTGTCCCCCCTGAAGAAAGCAACATGTGTCCCCCCCACTGCATGAACCTACATGTCCACCTACATGATTGTCTGTTTCAGGAAGTTGTATGTGTCTCTTACAGTAAATAATTATCTTTGAATTGTATTTGAGATCCTTGAGTTGTCATTATGATAATAAACCGATTCCTTTCCCTCAAGTAATGTATATTACTGTTACCGTGAAAACCTTCATACTTGCATCAGTAGTGTATTCCGCGCCGTAGAGCTCCCCTTGCCCAGAAAACGTAGCTCTGTGGCGTAAATAGTAATGTATATTACTGTTACCGTGAAAACCTTCATACTTGCATCAGTAGTGTATTCCGCGCCGTAGAGCTCCCCTTGCCCAGAAAACGTAGCTCTGTGGCGTAAATAACACTACTTGCATTTGTTTTGCGAAAGTTTTCGACTTAATGACGTATGCTCGCCAAAATGCGAGATTTTTTAAACAACCATTTCCTGCCTGTTGTCACATGACTGAGCATGACCTCGCCCACAACCTAAATTGAGGTAGTTTAGTGAAAGAAACACGTCTTTGTACGTGTTCTCTCGGATAGGTTAGGATAGGTTCAGTACCCATCAACAAGAGAAGCATAAATCTGCCTTTTATTCACCTAGTTGTGCTTGTGGGGGTTGAGCTCTGCTCTTTCGGCCCGCCTCTCAACTGTCAATCAACTGTTTCTACTACTACTACTACTACTACTATTTTTTTTCACATCACATGCACACACACCAGGAAGCGCCCGTGACAGCTGACTAACTTCCAGGTATCTATTTACTGCTAGGTAACAGGGGCATAGGGTGAAAGAAACTCTGCCCATCGTTTCTCGCCGGCGCCCGGGATCGAACCCGGGACCACAGGATCACGTGTCTACCGTGCTGTCCGCCCGGACACCGTTTCCGATGGTGCGGAGTGTTGAAGGAGTTCATTGCCGAAGCTGACACTTTAATGTGTATTTTTTTTATTGTTATAAACTCATGAGTTGAGAAGTTTAAACAAATTAAGGCTATTGGAAAAAAATGATAATTTTCATAAAAAATTAATTATATTTTTGCGCATTTGCAAAGCATGTGTGGTTGTGGTTGTTTTTGTTTGTGTGTGTGTTTGTTAAATGTATCTATTACTAGGATTAAAGTTATTGTTCAAGTGTCTGAACGGCTTTTCTACTTTAGATGAAAAAAAGGTAATTATGAAGAGGAAATGCTTAACCAATACGACTGTACAGTATCTGGAAAAGAAACGAGGCGAAGAATCTGGAATAGGATTGTGGGATGGAATAGTGGCCAACCATTTGAACCATCGGGGATCGAGTGCTGATCTGCAGTAATCGAATGCTAATGGTGTGCACATGTCTTACCACTCTAATGTTATACCTTTACTTTGCCTTTACAATATATCACCTCTGAATTTGAGGTGATATATATTGCAAATATGTCTTACCACTCTAATGTTATACCTTTACTTTGCCTTTACAATATATATCACCTCTGAATTTGAGGTGGCATCTGTTGTGCCAGATGCCACCGTGTCACACCCACATAGTAGCACCAGGCACAACAGTAACGTCTCTGATAACTTATACCCACCTGGTGCATTTCCGGCTCAACACCTAGACATGTCTAGAACCCCACCTCGCCTCTTCGCGAAAGCCCCCCCCCCCTCCCCTGGAGAACCCTTAAAGACCCCATAACGACTTCAACATTACAGGATATCACAAATACAGCCCCGTTCCTGTGCCAGGTAAGTCCACTACGGGCTCACCTTAGCCCGTGCTACTTGCCCCGCTCCTGTGCCAGGTAAGTCCACAACGGGCTCACCTTAGCCCGTGCTACTTGCACCGCTCCTGTGCCAGGTAAGTCCACTACGGGCTCACCTTAGCCCGTGCTACTTGCCCCGCTCCTGTGCCAGGTAAGTCCACTACGGGCTCACCTTAGCCCGTGCTACTTGCCCCGCTCCTGTGCCAGGTAAGTCCACTACGGGCTCACCATAGCCCGTGCTACTTGCCCCGCTCCTGTGCCAGGTAAGTCCACTACGGGCTCACCATAGCCCGTGCTACTTGCCCCGCTCCTGTGCCAGGTAAGTCCACTACGGGATCACCATAGCCCGTGCTACTTGCCCCGCTCCTGTGCCAGGTAAGTCCACTACGGGCTCACCTTAGCCCGTGTGCTCCCAGGTAAGTCCACTACGGGCTCACCATAGCCCGTGCTACTTGCCCCGCTCCTGTGCCAGGTAAGTCCACTACGGGCTCACCATAGCCCGTGCTACTTGCCCCGCTCCTGTGCCAGGTAAGTCCACTACGGGCTCACCATAGCCCGTGCTACTTGCCCCGCTCCTGTGCCAGGTAAGTCCACAACGGGCTCACCTTAGCCCGTGCTACTTGCACCGCTCCTGTGCCAGGTAAGTCCACTACGGGCTCACCTTAGCCCGTGCTACTTGCCCCGCTCCTGTGCCAGGTCAGTCCACTACGGGCTCACCTTAGCCCGTGCTACTTGCCCCGCTCCTGTGCCAGGTAAGTCCACTACGGGCTCACCATAGCCCGTGCTACTTGCCCCGCTCCTGTGCCAGGTAAGTCCACTACGGGCTCACCATAGCCCGTGCTACTTGCCCCGCTCCTGTGCCAGGTAAGTCCACTACGGGATCACCATAGCCCGTGCTACTTGCCCCGCTCCTGTGCCAGGTAAGTCCACTACGGGCTCACCTTAGCCCGTGCTACTTGCCCCGCTCCTGTGCCAGGTAAGTCCACTACGGGCTCACCATAGCCCGTGCTACTTGCCCCGCTCCTGTGCCAGGTAAGTCCACTACGGGCTCACCATAGCCCGTGCTACTTGCCCCGCTCCTGTGCCAGGTAAGTCCACTACGGGCTCACCTTAGCCCGTGCTACTTGCCCCGCTCCTGTGCCAGGTAAGTCCACTACGGGCTCACCTTAGCCCGTGCTACTTGGAACTTTTTGTTCCCAGTAGCTGAATCTATAACAACAACAGCAACATACAGGAAATTCTTTATTTCATTAATAATCTACTGAATTGGTACCAAGAGGTGGCCTAGTACAGGCCAATTATACACTGCTGCTTATAAAAATAACACCTTTGGATTGACTTGAGAATGGTCCAGGACGGACCGAAACGTCATCTCTTCACCTTCTAGTGTGTGGTTTGGTCAACAACCTTTGGATTGTGAAGTTGCGAAGCTCATAAACCTTTTTAATATATGTCAAACAAGGACCCCCAAGATTGTCAAAAGATATAGAGGTTTGGAAAGTGTTTCCGTGACTTATTTCGTATCTTGGTTACTCTCAGACCATGACGGTTGTCCCTCACCCCCATCCCGAGGAGGTCTATGCTTGGACCGGGGCACGGGGACGTTGATCCCCTTAAGTCTTCACAAGGTGACTAAGGGGCTAGGTGACTCCTACCCCGTCTCTCAGAAGTAGTGAATTACCTCCTTACCTCCTTCCGTCTCCCGCTGGTCCGGCAAACAGCAGGACGGCCCACCCCATGCAGCCTTGCAGCGTCAACCTTGAATGGGGGGAAGAGCCCTGCATGTGGGGGGTAGTTAGCATGGGGGGGTGAGCTTTGTTAGTACGTCGGTCTCCACCCCCCGTCCCCCTCCCTGTCTCTAATGGCCTTGTGGACCACCTGCCCTGTACAACCCTCAGTGTACACGACGCAGTGAGGGAACGCGTGTACAACCCCGGATGTACACAGCGCTGTAAGGAAGTGCTCCGCGCTTTGTGACAAGGGTAAGGGGCTCTTTGTGCGTGACGCAGGAAGGTGTGTCACACTGCGTCAAGGCTTTTGTGTACCTGACGCAATGGGGAAGGAACCACGGCTTGTTTTGTGTACATGACGCAGGGAGAGGTCATCGTTTAGGACGCTACCTCGAATTGTAACGTGTTCATCACCTGTACCGCTGCTGGGAATAGCTACCATGTCTCTCCCAACATAGATGCATAGTTGCACGGTTGCACGGTGACGGTGCCTTCCCACAGTGACGGTGCCTGCCTACAGTGACGGTGCCTGCCTACAGTGACGGCGCCTGCCACAGTGACGGCACCTGCCCACAGTGACGGCACCTGTCACAGTGACGGCACCTGCCACAGTGACGGGTGCTGCCACAGTGACGGTACCTGCCCACAGTGACGGCACCTGCCACAGTGACGGCACCTGTCCACAGTGACGGCACCTGCCACAGTGACGGCACCTGTCCACAGTGTCAACATCATACCTGTTAGAATAATTAATCCTGAGCTTCAGAAGAAGCACCTGTTTCACCTGTTCACCGTGTTGGCAACAGCACTAGTTCAAGCAGTGACTTGAAGTAGGAGGCAGTTAGCAGTCCTTCACAACTCAACACTCGAGTCACAGTCATCATCAACAGTGATGACATTACAGGGTCATTACCTCTCTTCCTGGCATTCCTTCCGTCTCATTCCGCCCGGGTCACTCCTAGTCTCTGCTTCCGGTCGAGCTGGTCGCCTCCTTGAAGGAACCGTCCGCAGACAGCAGCAGCAGACTGGGAGTTAGGAGACGGGCCATTGGTGGGGAGCAAGACCCAGCAGACTCTTACTCGGAGTAGAAATCCTTCTTCATCGCGGCAGTTCTTCAGAACTGTGTGTACTCACCTATTTGTGCTTGCGGGGATTGAGCTTTGGCTCTTTGGTCCAGATATATTGTGTGTGTGTGTGTGTGTGTGTGTGTGTGTGTGTGTGTGTGTGTGTGTGTGTGTGTGTGTGTGTGTGTGTGTGTGTGTGTGTGTGTGTGTGTGATGTATACACATACACACTGTGTGTGTGTCATGGCGGTCATAGAGAGGGGGAGGGAGGTGGCTTTGGAGGGAGAAGGGAGGTGGTCTTGGAGGGGGGGGGAGGGAGGTGGTCTTGGAGGGGGGGAGGGAGGTGGTCTTGGAGGGGGGGAGGGAGGTGGTCTTGGAGGGGGGGGAGGGAGGTGGTCTTGGAGGGGGGGAAGGTGGTCTTGGAGGGGGGGAAGGTGGTCTTGGAGGGGAAGGAAGGTGGTCTTGGAGGGGAAGGAAGGTGGTCTTGGAGGGGGGAGAGGGAGGTGGTCATGGAGAGGGGGGGAGCGGCGTTAAAGGTAATGACAGCCGGGGCAACAGGAAAAAGTCTATTCAAAAAAATATTGTACTCGAAGCGTAAAGAAAAAACCCTACTGAACCTCAACTCATAAAATCCTCGGATATTTTTCCTTAGGGCGTCAAATATTTCCCGGAATGTAAGCTGAAACATATATATAAAAAATACAGTCTTTTTCGGAGACGCCCGTAGCACGGAAAGACACAGCCATGATAGTTTTCCTGAAAATCTTAGGGGACCTTCCTCTGTCGGGGTCAAACCGACGTCAGCCATGAATGAATCTCTTCAGGGTATATTCGACTTCCGCCAACAATTGTTACCTGTCGCCCTCGTGACAAAGCTTGCAAGGCGGACAGTTCCAATTGCCAATAAGAGCTGTCCCTTGGCTTCTACCAAGCGTCAATTGGTAGTCATTTTGGCGCTTACAATGACGAAATAAAGTAACTTCGGTTGGAAAAAAGAGGTGGACGTTGGCGTGTTGGTTGAATGCTCCCTGCCTTCTGGCGGGTTGACCCTGGCGTCGCCCTGGGTCAGAGACGGCCTGCGGGCAACACCACCACCTGCGTCCGATACCTCGGCTTCGGTTCCTCTCGCCGCCCCTTGATCTCCCATCAACATCTCCCGAACACAGCCACCAACTCCCTACCGAGTGCCAACGAGTAAACCTACCAACGAACATGACATTGCGGCAAGTAAATGCGGTTGAGCTGGAGAAAACGCTCATTCGATTGTTTGGTAGCCAAGTTGCAGGCAATCGGAGGCATGGAAACCCCCGCCAGTCCTGGCCAATCTTATGACGACACGACATTTAAAAAATCTCGTGAATATCGAGATTTTAAGTTTGACCCAAGAGATGTCCGCCCGCTTCCCCCATACCTCCACGACCCCCTTACCTTCCCCCAGGTCAAACTACCCCTACAACACTTCAAACTCCCTCAAGGAGAGGCAGCGGGAGCATCTTAAAACGCCCCCCTCACCCCCCTTAACCAATCACCCAACCAGGTAAACGACGCTGAAACTCACCGAAACACAGCGAACTCCAGTGAAGAAATCTTAGCGTCTAAGGCAGCGGCTGTGATGGCCCCTCTTATTACCGGTAATCGTACTTCCAGGCCCTCGGGCCAGACAAACATAAATTACCACAGCAGGAGGAAAAACGTGCTCCTGTTTGCTTCCACACAGAAGAATCGCCTCCTCGTCGTACGTCACCGTCGTACGTCGTCCTCCGTCGTCGTACGTCACCGTCGTACGTCGTCCTCCGTCGTCGTACGTCACCGTCGTACGTCGTCCTCCGTCGTCGTACGTCACCGTCGTACGTCCACTTCTTCAGTAAATCCACCTTCCTATTAATCCTCAATCTCCACCATTCATTCTTTTTAGTATTTTTTTGTTATTTTTTTTTTTTTTTAATCTGCAACGCTTGCAAATTGTTGTATTCTCTTGTCCCCTTTTGTGATTTGTTCTTTTTTTTTGTATTTGTTGTTTTCCCCGTTGATTGTTCTATCGGTTTCAGGCTGTTCGCTATTGTTCATTTGAGCATTTTCTGTCGGGTCCTAAATTCCGTATGTAACTGCACTGTAGAATTGTTCGCATATTGTCAGTATTGTGTGACTTATAGTCGCTATCTTGCTACTGCTCCTCGAGTCGCTATCTTGCTCCCCCTCCTCCTCGAGTCGTTATCTTGCTCCTCCTAATCCTCTCATATGCTCATTATCTTGATTTTCATTTTCTTCCTCCTCTAATTTTTCTCATTCTGTTTCGTCGCTTCCCCCCAACTCCATCCCATCATTCCCCACCAGAGAGAACCTCCCCCACCACCAGGCAATTTCCCCCCCCCCTCCCCACCCCCTTTCCCTCTAGCCCCTTTCCTAGGTTCTTTCCCCCCCCCCACACACACATTCTTTGTACACAGGAACCTGTACACCTGTTGATTGACGGTTGAGAGGCGGGACCAAAGAGCCAGAGCTCAACCCCCCTCCCACCCCTCTCCTGCCGATGCAGTTATCATGATCTTGGCCAGGGCGTCTCCTTCCTCTGACCTTCAGAAGCCGCTGGTCTGCCGATCTTCCGGTGTTCGAGCGTAATGAAGGGCTCCCCCGGGCATAATTTTACAGGTCTTTCTCTTTCTCTCCCTGGCCTTATCAGGAGGAGTCTTGCCTCGCCTCTACCTGGCCTTCCTGATCCTCCTGAGCTTCGCTATTAGGGGTAAATAGCCTCCTCAACCTCACCCCGCAGACGTCTCAAATGTGTGTGTGTGTGTGTGTGTGTGTGTGTGTGTGTGTGTGTGTGTGTGTGTGTGTGTTGTGTGTGTGTGTGTGTGTGTGTGTGTGTGTGTGTGTGTGTGTGTGTGTGTGTGTGTGTGTGTCTGAGAATATATAAAATTGAGAAGCACTCCCATACTGTCGATGTCACCAACGGAAGGCGGACGGGTGACATCGACAGTATGTGCTGACGGACGGGGTGACATTCGGACGGACGGGTGACGTGCTGACGGAAACGGGTAGGTACATAGCTAGGAAGTACATCACAAGGTCAGACAGGGCGCTGACGGGCCGCAGAAGGAAGAAAAACAGGTGGAGACGGGGTGTGTGTGTGTGTGTGTGTGTGTGTGTGTGTGTGTGTGTGTGTGTGTGTGTATATATATATATATATATATATATATATATATATATATATATATATATATATGTCGTACCTAATAGCCAGAACGCACTTCTCAGCCTACTATTCAAGGCCCGATTTGCCTAATAAGCCAAGTTTTCATGAATTAATGTTTTTTCGTCTACCTAACCTACCTAACCTAACCTAACCTAGCTTTTTTTGGCTACCTAACCTAACCTTACCTATAAATATAGGTTAGGTTAGGTTAGGTAGGGTTGGTTAGGTTCGGTCATATATCTACGTTAATTTTAACTCCAATACAAAAAATTGACCTCATACATAGAGAAAAGGGTTGCTTTATCATTTCATAAGAAAAAAATTATAGTAAATATATTAATTCAGGAAAACTTGGCTTATTAGGCAAATCGGGCCTTGAATAGTAGGCTGAGAAGTGAGTTCTGGCTACTAGGTACGACATACATATATATATATATATATATATATATATATATATATATATATATATATATATATATATATATATATATATATATATATATATATATACAATCTTCGCCTCGCCACAAGGGGGGTATAATGACTGCTGGAAATTAGCAACCAATTTGCCCATTTTAGAATGCGCTAATTATAACTGACGTAATAACAATTACAGCCGCTAATATAAGCTTTTCAGGACTTGAAAGAACTTGTATATATATATATACGACTTATCTTGAACTTATATAAGAACTTGAACGAGCCAACACATTACTCAAGCTGATGAACCACAAGCTTAAAGATCAAAAGAGGTGTCACAGGCATTTTTGCCAAGATGAAAAGTTGCTTATTGTCTTCAACAATCATTGGAATTGAATAACCTTGAAAGTCTTGCAAGAAAAGTGATTGTCCAATCAGAGGCTGAATGCTCGTCTTGTATGACACACTATTGTCCTTAGTGGGAGTGTGTGTGTGTGTCAAGAGGGTGGTATGGATCCGTTGAGAACCAAGTGGTTCCCCTCAGGGGTCCCAAAGTGGTTCCTCTCAGGGGTCCCAAAGTGGTTCCCCTCAGGGGTTCTAAAGTGGTTCACCTCAGGGGTCCCAAAGTGGTTCCTCTCAGGGGTCCCAAAGTGGTTCCCCTCAGGGGTTCTAAAGTGGTTCACCTCAGGGGTCCCAAAGTGGTTCACCTCAGGGGTCCCAAAGTGGTTCCCCTCAGGGGTCCCAAAGTGGATCCCCTCAGGGGTCCCAAAGTGGTTCACCTCAGGGGTCCCAAAGTGGTTCCCTCAGGGGTTCCAAAGTGGTTCCCCTCAGGGGTCCCAAAGTGGTTCCCTAGGGCTCCTCTAGTGCCTCCTGGCACAGCTGCCTCTTTTGCTACAAAACATTTGCTAAGTGCTTTTTTTTAGAAGCAGAGTGAACGAGGTCCAGAGAACCCTGACAGCTATGGGATGTTATCAGGAATGTCTCTTGAATCTCCGGACGGAGGGAAGATGGGAGGGAAGATGCAGGAGGACAAGTGTGTTGGTGGGGGCTAGCATAGGTAGAGACGGATAGCAGGAAGAACCCCTGCAGTAGACGTGAACCCTCGCGATTGGACGTGAATCCCCCGCAATATTGGACGTGAACCGACACACACTTGTGTGTTTTGAATGCAGGCGTACATTAAAATTCTTCCAGGCCGGCGGATGTAATGTTTTTTTTATTGATACGAGCTTCCTGTTGGCCTCTCCAAGGATCTCCAAAAAGTATTTAAAGGATATTTACCTGCGTCTCCAGCTCCCGGCCACTGTCTGTACCTCACCCCTTCTTAACACGCCCCCTCACCCCCTTCCTAGCACCCCCATCACCCCTTCCTAACACCCCATCACACGTCACTCACACTGCCACAATTCCTAATTATATTGTAGA